CGGCTGTAATTAATACGGCTCAAACAAATAGCGGAATTTGGTATATTGAGACTGCGGGCGGTTTTATGTTAATAATTGTAGTGATGAAGTTAATGGCCCCTAGAATCGATGAAACCCCTGCTAGATGAAGGGAGAAAATAGTTAAATCTACTGATGCTCCGGCATGAGCAAGATTGCCAGCTAATGGGGGATATACAGTTCAACCTGTTCCAGCCCCGGCTTCTACCCTGAAGAGGCTAGAAGTAGGAGGAAGGAAGGAGGGAGAAGTCAGAAGCTCATATTATTTATTCGGGGGAATGCCATGTCAGGGGCTCCGATCATTAGAGGGATAAGTCAGTTTCCAAAGCCTCCAATCATGATTGGCATTACTATAAAGAAAATTATTACAAAGGCATGGGCCGTAACAATTACATTATAAATTTGGTCGTCTCCTAAAAGAGCGCCAGGTTGACTAAGTTCTGCTCGGATAAGTAAGCTTAAAGCTGTCCCTACTATTCCGGCTCAAGCACCAAATACTAGATAGAGGGTGCCGATGTCTTTGTGATTGGTTGAGAAAAATCAGCGCGTGATTGCCACAGGTAGGATGGCTGAGTTTTAAGCGGTGGATTGTAGCCCCATAGACAGAGGTTCGAATCCTCTTCTTACCAAGCTCTGAGGTGTATTTACATATAAGATTGCAAATCTTAAGATGCAGGCTAATTACCTGCCGGGGCTTTCCCCCGCCTATTATGTTTAGGCTAGGCGGGGGAAAGTAGATAGATGCTCGCTGGTTTGAGCGCTTAGCTGTTAACTAAGATTTTGCAGGATCGAGGCCTGCCTGTCTAGGAAGGCTTTAGCTTAATTAAAGTATCTGTTTTGCATACAGTTGATGTGGGTTAATGTCCCGCAAGTCTTATCAGGGACTGGGAGATTTTCACTCTCGCTTAGGGCTTTGAAGGCCCTTGGTCTGGTGCTAACCTAAGTCTCTACAGGGTAAGAAGGGCTGTGATGGCGGGGGTAAGGGGGAGGAGAAGAATTGTAGCTGAAGTTGAAATAGCTAGTGGGAGGTTTAGCTGAGGGGTGTGGAAGCGTCATGGTATAGTGCCTGTTAGGTTGTTGGGGAATATTGTGAGGGTTATTGCGTAAGAAAGGCGTAGGTAGAAATATAGGCTCAGTAAGGCTGTTAGTGCGGCTATTGTAGCTAGGAGGGGCAGATCTTGTTTTGTAAGCTCTTGAAGAATTAGTCATTTTGGCATGAAGCCTGTTAGTGGGGGGAGGCCCCCTAACGAGAGAAGGATTAGTGGGGCTAAAGAGGTAATAACTGGTGTTTTGGTCCAGGAAACTGCCAGAGAATTGACGTTTGTTGCTTTGTTAATTTTGAATACGAGGAATGTTGAGAAAGTTATAACAAAGTAGGTTAGGAGGGTTAAAAGGGTCAAGGAAGGGGAGAATTGGATGATAAGAGTTATTCAGCCTAGATGGGCAATTGAGGAGTATGCTAGGATTTTACGAAGCTGTGTTTGGTTTAGTCCGCCTCAGCCCCCAATTAGGGTTGAGGAAATACCTAGGAGGATCAGGAGGGTGGGGTTGTTGGGTTGAAGTTGTAGGAACAGGGCGAAGGGAGCAAGTTTTTGTCATGTGGACAGAATAAGACCTGTGGTTAGGTCTAAGCCTTGGAGGACCTCAGGAAGTCAGGAGTGTATTGGGGCTAGTCCAATTTTAAGGGCCAAGGCTAGTGTAATTATTGTGGTTGGGACTGGGTGGGTTATTTGTTGAATGTCTCATTGACCTGTTAGTCAGGCGTTGGTTGTGCTTGCAAACAGGAGCATGGCGGCAGCTGTAGCTTGCGTGAGGAAATATTTTGTGGTTGCTTCAACTGCTCGGGGGTGGTGGTGTTGGGCTATTAAGGGAATGATGGCTAGGGTATTAATTTCTAGGCCCATTCAGGCAAGTAGTCAGTGTGAACTTGCGAACGTAATAGTTGTTCCTAAACCTAAACCGAATAATAGGATGGCTAAGATGTAAGGGTTCATTAGCAGAGGCAGGATTTTAACCTGCATGTTTGGGGTATGGGCCCAAGAGCTTAATGTTAGCTGACCCTGCTAGGAAGTGGTGTAGTGGAAGCACTAAGAGTTTTGATCTCTTCAGGTAGGGTTCAAATCCCTTCTTTCTAAAGGAGTCGGGGGGATTTTAACCCCCATGGTTCACTCTATCAAAGTGGCCCTTTACTTCAGGCACGGCTCCTTGAGGTTATAGTTGAGGCGGTAGGCCTGCAAATGCGATAGGTAGTGCTAAATGTCAGATGACAAGTGCTAGTGTAAGAGGGAGGAAGTTTTTTCAGATGAGATGCATAAGCTGGTCATATCGGAACCGGGGGTAGGATGCTCGAACTCAAAGGAAAACGATAGACAGGAGGGCTGCTTTAGTTATGAGGTTAACGGCGGTAAGTTCTGGAAGGGTTGGGATGTGTGAGGCTCCTAGGAATAGGGTGGCTGAGAGAGTGTTTATTAGAAGAATGTTGGCGTATTCGGCTAAGAAGAATAATGCGAATGGGCCTCCTGCGTATTCTACGTTAAAACCGGAGACTAACTCAGATTCTCCTTCAGTTAGGTCGAAGGGTGCTCGGTTGGTTTCTGCTAGTGTTGAAATATATCATATGGCAGCCAGAGGTCATGCAGGCATTACAAGTCAGATGCTTTCTTGAGCAGTATTGAAGGTTTGGAGGGTGAAACCGCCTGTGAAGATAATAATGTTTAGAAGAATTAGGCCTAGGCTAACTTCGTATGAAATGGTTTGGGCTACGGCTCGTAGGGCCCCTACTAGGGCATATTTTGAATTTGATGCTCAGCCTGAGCCAAGAATTGAGTATACGGCAAGGCTTGATAGTGCCAGAATAAATAGAATGCCTAGGTTTAGGTCGGCTACAGGGTAAGGGAGAGGTATTGGTGCTCAGAGCGTGAGGGCCAGTGTTAGCGCTAGTATGGGGGCTAGGAGGAAAAGGACTGGAGAGGAGGTGGAAGGTCGTACTGGTTCTTTAATAAATAGTTTTACTCCGTCAGCGATAGGTTGTAGGAGACCGTAGGGTCCTACTACATTAGGGCCCTTTCGTAGTTGTATGTAGCCCAGGACTTTTCGTTCAATTAGGGTAAGGAAAGCGACGGCTAGAAGAACAGGGACAATAAAGGCTAGGGGATTTAGTAGGTGGGTAATTAATGCTGTGATCATAGTTAGAGAGAGGACTTGAACCTCTGTTTAAAGGGCTTAGGCCTTTTGCAATATACCGGGCTCTGCCACTCTAACATGCCATTCTCTTAGGCACAGGGGTGTACCCTCTTGCCTAGTTTAGATGATTTCATTAGGTAAGGGTGAGGCGTGCCTAAGGTATGGGCCTCTTCTTTTCGGTCCTTTCGTACTAGAAAAGATTAACTTCATAGATAGAAACTGACCTGGATTACTCCGGTCTGAACTCAGATCACGTAGGACTTTAATCGTTGAACAAACGAACCCTTAATAGCGGCTGCACCATTAGGATGTCCTGATCCAACATCGAGGTCGTAAACCCCCTTGTCGATATGGGCTCTAAAAGGGGATTGCGCTGTTATCCCTAGGGTAACTTGGTCCGTTGATCGGCGAGAGCCGGATCGTAAGAGGTCAGAGATTCTGTTAGTTAGAGTTGTAACTCTTGCTTGTGGGAGTGTGGGAAAAAGGTTTTGGGTTTGTTCTCCCAGTCCACATGGGGGTTTTGTGCTGCCCCATGGTCGCCCCAACCGAAGACATTAGGACAGGGGGTCATTAAGTTCGGGCCTTTGTCAAGGGGTATTTAACATGATCTGTCTTGGTGTCTAAAGCTCCATAGGGTCTTCTCGTCTTATGTATTTATCCCCGCTTCTGCACGGGGAGATCAATTTCATTGACTGGAAAGAGGAGACAGTTAAGCCCTCGTTATGCCATTCATACAGGTCTCCATTTAAAAGACAAGTGATTACGCTACCTTCGCACGGTCAAAATACCGCGGCCGTTAAACATATAGTCACCGGGCAGGCGGGACCTCTTATTCTTTGGTTTTGCAAGAGGCGATGTTTTTGGTAAACAGGCGAGGCTTAAGAAAGTGTTTGCCGAGTTCCTTCTCTTTCTTTTAGTCTTTCCTGGTAAGCACACCAGTGTAGGGTTAACGGTGTTGGCTAGGACGATTTTCTAGTTTTGTATTTGTACGTTTGTCCAATACCCTCTTTGTTTGGGGCCGTTATTGCTCGGTGGGAGGTCCGTTCCGATTTACACATGTGCTAGGAGAGAGGGTATAGCTCTCTTATTACTCATTTTAGCAGGGTCGCCCTCATGGATGCATGGGGAGGCTCGGTAATGTTAGGGGATTAAGATTATGGTATCGGGATATAGGGAGGGAATATTATGTCTGAGCTTTAACGCTTTCTGTTAGGATGGCTGCTTTTAGGCCCACCGGAACATTTTTCCTTAAAAATTGTGATCTTTATCCTTCTAGAAAAGTTGTGTCTTTGTTCAAAGGGGCTGTACCCCCTTTGACTAACTCTCGCGGTTTCTTTTGATCATTAGGTGATTATTATTATATGAAAGGAGAAGCCATGAGGCTGAACTTTTATCCAATTCCCGGGCAACCAGCTATAACTGAGTTCGATAGGTCTGTCACCCCTACTCGAAGCTCTTCCCACTCTTTTGCCACAGAGACGGGTTTGCCCTATAAATAGGCTGTCTTGGAGTAGCTCACACAGTTTCGGGATTTCAAACTAAAGTTCTCTTTGCTTGAATGTGCTGGCTAAATCATGATGCAAAAGGTACGAGGAGTAATCTCTGCTTTTTATGGCTTTACTGGTCTGTTTCATCTCTCTTTCAGCTTTCCTTACGGTACTTTTTCTATTGCGCCCTTGTGATCCTTTTCTGTCTCCCATACTTAGGAGGGAAAATGCTTTGTTTATTGAGTTTGAAGTGTTTTTGGGTTTATTTATGTTTGTTTGTTGAGTTTAGTTGGTGGGGCTAGCTAATAGGCATCAGGACGATTCGATTTGCACGAATGACTTCTCAGTGTAAGGGAGATGCTTTTCTGTTTTAGCTACGTCCTGGTTTAACCAAGCGCACCTTCCGGTACGCTTACCATGTTACGACTTTCCTCTCCTTCGCGTTTGTTAGGGTTTAAAGAAAATTTTAGGTCCAGTTGCTTGGGGAGGGTGACGGGCGGTGTGTGCGCGCTTAAGAGCCGGCTTCAGCGGAACACTCTGCTTTCTGCTTACTGCTAAATCCTCCTTCAGCTACATGTTTCAATGTAGCATTCGTGTTCGCTGGTGGGCAGCGAATGTAGCCCATTTCTTCCCCTCCCATCCACTACACCTCGACCTGACGTTCTGGGCTGTGCCGATTGTGCTTACTATTAGTCCTTCACAGGGTAAGCTGGCGACGGTGGTATATAGGCGGAAAAAGCTAGGGGGGGTGAGGTTAAACGGGGATTATCGGTTCTAGAACAGGCTCCTCTAGGTGGATATTAAGCACCGCCAAGTCCTTTGGGTTTTAAACTAATGTTCGTAATTCCCAGGCGGATGATTTGATGTAGTAAACGATCAATGTTTAAGGCTAAGCATAGTGGGGTATCTAATCCCAGTTTGTTTCTTAGCTTTCGTGGGTTCAGGTTAGATAAAGCCACTTTCGTAGTTGGGGTTCACTTCCTCGGAAGCGTATAACAGCTAGGAGGAGGTTCCGCTTTAGTTGTATGTTTTCCTTAACCACGCTTTACGCCGTTGTCTGTCAACTTGAGCCTCTCGTATAACCGCGGTGGCTGGCACGAGTTTTACCGGCTCTTTTAGCTTTAACTAAGTCAAGTTTTCACTTATTGCTTAATATTTATCACTGCTGGATTCCCTTGGGGGTGTGGCTAAGCAAGGTGTCGTGGGCTACGTATGTTGTGTGCCTGATACCGGCTCCTTGTGCCCGAGAAGGGTACTAAGGGCATCCTCACAGGGGGGCGGATACTTGCATGTGTAAATCTAGCTAAAGCTGACAGTAAAGTCAGGACCAAACCTTTGTGCTTGCGGGGCTTTCTAGGGCCCATCTTAACATCTTCAGTGTTATGCTTTAATTAAGCTACGCTAGCATGTGAAATATTATAATAGTGTTTGAACATGTATTTTAGGGTAGAATAAACCCTTTAGGGGCTTTCCTGTTTCCGGGGGGTTTTCAGGAACGACAGCAACTTTAGGAGTTTTGGGGGGTAGGGGGTTTTACGCGCAAAAGCCGAGGGGGGGGAGATCTTAGGTAAGTTAGGAGAGACAGCATAACTATTATGCTCTTGATATTATAGTGTGGTCGTATAACCACTATGTTTATCCACCATGGATCTAATGTTTGGCCAAATGCAAGGAAGCATGTTCCACTCAAGTATATTAGTTTGCATGCACTGTGAAATGTCAGATGAAGGGAACAGAAAAAGAAAAACCACTAGCCTTTGGGAAGTGCTCTGCATAGTGGGTTCACGGAGATCATGTACTATCACCATTAACTATGCAAGCGTCAGTGAAAGTGTGTGGATATGTTCGAGGTTATGGCCTGAAATAGGAGCCAAATGCCAGGAATAGTTCACTGAGTGTAACCCGCACGGTTTCTGTCCTTGCTTATCAACTAAACGATATCGCTTGAAGGC